AACCAGCTATAACTATCAATGGCATATTACACCGATGATGTGTAGTCTAACCTTGCATTCGCGAATTCAACTAACGCCTGTCCGCTTCCGGATTAACCTAGTACTTTATGACTCATTTAAATATGAATGGAATAGTGGCAGGTACTATTCATATTTGAATGAGTTTCCAATAAAATAGTAGGTTAATCCGGTAGCCGACAGGCGTTAGTTGCTTTCGCGAATACAAGCTAAGTAACTGACTGAAGAAACACTGTAACTGAACGATTGTTTATATGAGAAATTACATGCATTCGTATGAGGCAATATATACGTACAGATTGAAATTTCGATTTTATATGAATTGCTGACGTTGTATAAAATCAAAATGTAAAAATAAATTGATTAATTGATTAAATGTGAATGAACAAAAAACACTTTAAATCACTTCCACTCCCTCAACCTGCCGAAGGTACCCGAAATGTATAAATCATTTAAAAGTAAATGCTACAAACAAAACTGATTCAAAAAAGTCAAAGAAATGAATTGAACTTTGTAACACTTGAAGTGGCCACAGCAAACAATGTTTGACATCTATATTCAACAACGCGCAATATAATGTACATACATGTATGGTGAATATGTTTAAAATGCAATAGTGACATCTAATTTGTGTGTAAATTGTCAAATAATGAGATTGCTGTTGCAATATATGAGATTGCAATATGACATTTCTCATCAAAACAAATGTTCTCCAAGTTGGGTCCTGTAAGTTTGGCTCCCCCATTGAACTACGTGTTAAAGCCTCTTTACCTTTGAATTTTTATTTACTTAACCTGCTACGAAAACACTGACACTATTGATGGAAACGTAACTTGACCTTATTTCCAACACCTCCAAATTTTTTCAATTTTTTCCTCAATTGCAATAGGTCGAAAATTAATGATAAATTTGATGAATTTTTTAAAATCGACATTCCCATGTTAACCAATTGCAAATTACATGCTCACACAAGAGGAGGGAAAGCCCCAGAGTTTAAAGATGACAGACATAATTACCTCTTTTGCTTACCACCTTCGTTCGCTCGAATTTTTATCGGCTAGTTATCAAATATTACACTTCGATGGGATGTTTTAATTGACATAGGCATATTCCGTATACCTTTCCTTATCACTGGGGATGAACTGGAAACGAGGGAGGTTTTGCCTCGTATCAAAATGGCGGCGCGTGAAAAAATTTCATTCTGTAAGATTTTTGTTTTTTACAATTTTCGTGCTTTTATCCTTCAAATTAAAACTTAATATTTGGTAAGTAAATAGTTTATAAGTTCCGGTTTTATAATATGATTGCAAATTAGAAATCAATACAGACATTGCTGAGATATTTACATTTCAATTCTCTCACTTAGGAAACGAGGTACCTGTCTACATTTTGTAACAATGAAACGAGGCAATGTTTGACTTGCAACGAGGCAACTATTCTTTCTGTGATAGTGTCTACATTTAATGATCATATTTCCACCGTTCTGGTCACATACGACCGATTACGTTTTACACGATATACATGATTATATATGTAAGAGTTAAAAAGAATAACCATATTGTTCATAAAGCGCTACACTGGTCATTTATCTTTCAGAGCAAGACAACATGGATGAATCCGACGTACAAGACATAAACCAAATGAGTGTCTATTTTATATAGGAATATTGATCTAATCTAAGCTTAATTTCCGTGGTTGAATTCAAATGTGGGCCATGCGTATTACAGGGTTGTGTAGCCAGCTTTTGATAGGGTGAGGGGGGGGGGTGTTCTGGCGAGCGTCGAATGCAAGCAAATAAAGTACCAATACCTTGTTCATCGATTTTGAAAGGATCGGATTACAACAGTATAACATAAAATGTTACATGTACACTATTTGCGCGGTAAAGTTGTTCCAATGCAGGCAAAAGCAATCACATCATATATACAGGTACAATGATGGTACACATTCCAAATGTGTAGTTATACATATTAGGCTATGACATGATGAGCTAATAAGAATGTCTGATAAGCATGTAGGCCTATGTATATATGATAATCTGTACAATCTGAATGTTTGATAAAGGAACTTGATGATACAGCCGAAGGTATGGAATGATTAAAGTTGCAGCAAAGAAAAGTCTAACTGTACCAATTTAGTTAAGCTACATGTTGTTAAGGTTCATCTTTAAGTACAGAAAATGTCAATGCACTTCACTCGATTCATTCTTTGCTGCAGCTTAAAATTTATGCTAATGAGTTATACTGTTTTATTTTTTAAATATTTCGAAAACGTTAAGGTAACTTATAACTTAATCAAAAAATTCAAGATGGCCGAAACCAGGAAGCACATGGCATTTGAGTATAATCTGACCATCAAAATTAACTGTCTTTTGGTTGGATTTTCTCTCAATTTTTTAGTTCCACTTATCATTTATATAACCAGGCTCACTGTGGTAATGCAAATAGAAACAGTAAACATTTTGAAATGGGAATTTGAGTCCTCTGAAAATGTGACAGAAAAATTGACAAAAAGAGTAGCACGGCAAAGGTCCCTGAACATTTTTTTTCTAATTTCTCTGAAACATCCCTTTAATATAGCCCAAAATGGAAGGAGCTTTAGAATTTTTGAAATCTCTCATACAAATTAAAAAAAATAGAAAAAAAACAATTTGAGAAGTGTACTTTTTTCCTTATTTTGATCCCAATTTTTTTATCGGGTAATTTTTCAAAGGACGATTCTCGGTTTGGAGAACGAAGTTCATCAATCTAAATTAGCATTATCCCTGCTTCGGACAAAATTGATTTTTTTACATAATATAGATTTGAATGTCTTCTTTTGAATAGTCATAATTTAATTTGGGTAATATTTCTAGATTTTTCCCCAAAAAATATTAGCGCAGTACATTGATGAACTTCTTTCCCCAAATCGAGACTTGTATTTTATTAAATCGGTCTAATTGAGCGTTATCCCTGCTTCAGACCAATTTGTTATTTTTACATCTTGTAGATTTAAATGTCCTCTTATGAATATTCATAGTTTAATTTGGGTAATATTTCTATATTTTTCATGAAAAAATTATTAGCCCAGGAGACTGTTCTCCAAACCGAGAATCGTCCTTTCCGTTGCTCCTTCGTTTTTGATATATGTTTGAAGTATATTTTCTGAAATGTTCAGATATTTTGAATCAGCGGTTTTTCACGGGCTACTCCTAGAAAAAAATCTTCTCAAATTCTTTAAACGGCACTTTTTTCTCAAACTAAAGTTTTTTGTTGTTCTTTGATGTCTTTGTAATGATTACAGTGCACAAGCATATGTGAAATAATAAAAACGACTTCTCAGGAAGAGTTTGAAAATTTCAAGATTAAGTTAACAGTCACCTTAAATAGCATTGCTTTGAGTGTCAATTCCAAACGAGCCAGCTATCCGAGCTATCGATGGTAGCGCATATATCGTCAAAATGTTCTCTCAAATAAGAAACATCTCGTTCAAAGAAGTGCTATTTTAATAGGAGCTTAAGCTACACGTATTTTAGAAATGGCGAACGTAAACGTGAAATGACCCCTGGGAACTATAGTTCCGTTCTGGATTGACTTATACAAAGACCCAATTAAAACAGTTTAACTGATACCTTTGTAATCATTCATGCAAATAAAGACGTTGAAGACAAGAACTAGTTCTCTGAAGATTGCAATTTTACACGTTTACGTACACTTCTCTTTAAAACATGTGTCGTTAAACCTCCCTACTAATCGTACTCAAATGGGGCATTGTTGTTGCTTGAGATGGCTATATTTGATAGAATATAATTCCAGATACGATAAAAAACGAATGACCATGGTAATAATTAAATGACTCGCCTATATTACAAAAATAGCAGAGTCAAGGAGCACACTGGCATTGTCTCATTGGTGTACATTGGATTTTACTGTTTGTATTCTTTAATGTCTGTATGTTCCTTATTATGTCACTATCAATTATGTTATTATGCATATGGTCCAACGAAATGTGGAAATGTTCGGCGTCTGACGTCTGGAGTTCGGCGTCTGGCGTTTTGCGTCAATAGCAAATTCTTTAGCAATTTTAGCAACTTTCAAAAACTGAACAAATGCGTACCGCTTACACGTTCAATGGCAACGCCAAAATGATGAGACGTGTATATACAAATGAACCTGTTTTCTCATCTAACGTTCGTTTCCGTACAGAGAGATTACCATCATGCGGTTGCATCATATGGAATACAATATCAGCAACGTTGTCGTTCCCTGTGTTACAGAAATAGCATTTGAACAGGGACACTTCTTTTTGTAGGCCCCGTTCTGTAATAAAAACAAAACATTTTTAATTAAATATGGTTGCCTCGTTTCATTCTTAAGAATGCTATATAGCTGCCTCGTTTCCTTGAGAAACATGCCTCGTTTCCTAAGTGAGAGAATTGATACGTAAATATCTCAGCAATGCCAGTATTGATTTCTAATTTGTAATCATATTATAAAACCGGAACTTATGAACTATTTACTTGCCAAATATTAAGTTTTAATTTGAAGGATAAAAGCACGAAAATTGTAAAAAACAAAAATCTTACCGAATGAAATTTTTTCACGCGCCGCCATTTTGATACGAGGCAAAACCTCCCTCGTTTCCAGTTCATCCCCAGTGCTTATCTTGATGTGAAATGAGAAGCTATGATATTGGTTAACACGCCAGAAATGAACATTATATTATTCGAAGCGTATTTCGAAAATTTTGAAACCGCCATTGATGACGTCATTTGTTTGTCGACTTGACCAATCAGCAACGATGTCATCTCAATACAGATTTACATTATAAGCGTATGTCATCTTTGAACCCTGGTGTTTCTCCCCCTCTGTGCTCACACCTTTTCAACAGAAGCATTTCATCCAAGCGCACTTAGACAGCTAAGTACGCCGTGGCAACCTTGTCGGCTGCTTGCGTGTGTCAACCGCGCCGGCTTGTTGCTAGGGCACTACAGGAGTTCGATTGCAATAAACTGTGATGATGAGAAACCTCATTAAAACATTACGCAAATAAAAAAACAACATACAAAAATACAGTGTTATTCTACCTCAGGCATGTTCCACAACATTCGGATCTAATTAAGCATGCAATGTTACGGTGCTTTTTACATTTCTGTAGCCTTTTTCCGTGTCATTCAAGATCTTCCCGAAATCAGAAATGATTATAGCTGCCAAAAATAGTGCAATGATTGCAAAAGGAGGTATTGCAATAATCCACGCATATTCTGTTTCTTCGGGTTGAAATTCAGTTTTCTTTATTGGTTTATATGGGCGTGCGTCTTCCTCGTCATCATTCCTCTTGTTCTTCCTGAGATATAAAATTGCTACATATGTTTCTTTTATTGGTTCGAGATGCTTTTGTTTTAATATTGTCACCTGCTCTGTATTCATTAATTTTGAAGTTATCGTTGCATCTGATGATTTTGTCAATGATTCAGAAAATGTCATTTTGTCAGGAGTTGTCGCCGAGTCTCTGATTATCATTGCTTCTGGAGTAGTTGTTGGGTCTTGGATAACAGTTGGTTCTGTAGTTGTCGTTGGGCCTTGGGTAGATGTTGGTTTCAGACTTGTGTGTTCTAACGTTGTCACTTGTTCTTGATTTATTGTAGGTTCCTGTGTTATCTCAAGATCTGATGTTGTCATTTGTTCCTGAGTTGGCATCAGGTCTCGGGTTGTGGTTGTGGTTGGATCTGGAATTTTTATTGGTTCTGGAGTAGTCCTTGTGTATTTTGTTGTCAATAAGTCTTTGGTCGTTGTTAGTTCTGCATAATTAGTATACTTGGTAGTAGTTGTAGAAATTGCTGTTGTAGCAAGTGTTGTAGCTGTAGTTGGTATGGTCACATAATCTACATCTGTCACGCTAGGCTCTGTGGTCAATACTGGAAATAAATAAATAAATATCAATGATTAAACTCAGAATGTTTTACACCATGAACTTCAAAAATATGAATACGTAAATCAGTCAAGCCAAGTAAGTAAGTCAACATTCGAAAATGAAAATCTCAAAAATCGCACATCTTTGATTTCCAAATTAAAATAATTTGTGAGGTGGTTATTTAGATGATAATACACATTTTAACATACTAATTTTGAGTACATCTCGAATCCATTCTCAACAAAGCGTTCTCGAAATAAGTATTCGAAATGTTTGAGTTCGGGATGATAAAAGTACGTTAAGATATACCGCTCCTTAACAAACTCCTTCAGGAACAAGATATAGAATAAAATGCATATTCTTCCTATTTATTCCCCGACACTTGCCAATGAATGTTGCATAAGTAAATATCTCCGTTTTAAAAAATTTTGAAAACGTTGTTCTCTACAGGTGCCATTTTTTATAATTGAAAAACAAAATTGAACAATTTGCATTTCTAAATTGATAAGTTTCTTGGAATACAACTTAACTGTAAACGATTTAAGTCATTAATAATATTTCCCTTAGTGAACCCATGCTGAATAGACAGTAACTGGGTCAATGTTTTGTGTTCAACCTTGTTTTCATGACTTTTAAACATGAGTCGACGATTATGTAGGAAATTTCATTTTCAAATGTAAGCGTGTCAACTCCTGTTTTTGCACAATATTTAGCCCTTTATAATGATAGATCGCCAAATCATGCATGTACCTCGAGCTCTCAATTAGGCGATATGTTTTTCAATTTATAGATGTTAACTATAAACTCAAACAAAAATTCAAACCACCCGCTCTATTATTTTGATTACACAAGACGAAATTTCCACTCCCGGGGAGCACATTGGTATCACTTTGAAGGAAGATTCTTGAAAAATCGTTCGAATTTTCACAAACGGTTTCACGTAATTTTATTGCTTTGTTTAAGCCTCGACTTATATCATACTCAAATCCGATACCATAATTACGAATCAAAATGAAACATTCAATTCACCAGGTTAAATAATAAACCGTTTCGAGAATTGATGATTTGAGTTAATTGTGGATATTTATATAAATGTAAGTTGGCATGTATTCGACAGTTAATGTACACACATGATGTATGCATCAACGTGTGACTAAAAATATCAATTCGTGACTATCACATTTGGCTTCCAAAAATTAAGTTGGAAATTACAGTGGTAGGAGATTAACGAAAACGTCAATCACATCCAAATATCCGTGCGACGTCAAGTATTAACAAAACACTTTTCGTGCATCTCGAACATGGCAAGGTTCTGTTATCCAGCAATGTGCATTTCGAAAGAAAAAATTCACAAATATCAACAATTTTCATTGAGTAGGATATTACATTCGAAATCACGACTTTCAAATTGTTTTTTTTAACCAAGAATTGTAAGAACTTGAAACATGTTGTGAGTTTTTTAAACGGCATATCCTCATTCACGTTCTTTGACAAGGATGAATCCATTTGAAAACATGGATTTTCTTGATTATTCTTCAAAACTACCCTTGAAATATAAGTATGTAGGATATTACAGTGTAAATTGACACGCATTTGTTTGCTCGATATCCTGAACAAATAAATGCAGTACCGTCTTGCAATATTTGAAAACCGAAAGTTCATTCTGTATGTAAACAAGAAAAAATACATTTATGGTTGGTTCATAATGAAAAATGACGAATAACATATATCTTTTGAAGTAGGGGTATACAGGGACACAGTGGAAAATCAGAAATTTAGGTCATATCCCAAAGATTGCTTCACCAATATGTAACAGAACATCAAAATTATCATTTACACGTTTGCTGATAGGTTTATTGAAAATAATGAACCAGAGGTTTACTTCAATTGTGGCACCATTCTTAGTAAATATTGATGAACATACGAATATCGAATGTTGACTAAGTTACTTGTCTTGACCGAAATGACTAACCAAATTGAACATCGCTCATATCGTCATATTCACAATCACAAACACGGGCTATATTTTTTAATGTAAATTAATAGAGCTCATATTTGAACTTACGCAATTTAACTAAAACAATACAAATGTGAACATTGTTTACTCGTAGCTACGCAAGACCGGCAAGGCAATTAAAGTTCCACCTCTTACGATCAAAACCATATTTTTGATAGATTCTAGACTCACCCTGGATTTCTGAAAAATTCCAATCCCATTTAGAATTCGATATCGGACCATAATCTGAGTATACTGTGTGGCAATGGCCTATCTTCCATTGAATAGATTTGCAAGTCTTTCCTTCATTGCTTGGTTGCTCATCTTCACACCTTTTCTTGCACAGTTCTTCACTCTGGAACTCATAGTGCGTTCTATCGCTTAATCTCTTGGTATTGCTTTTAGTGACCCTCCACGTAAATCCTGATATTAACAGAAATAACGATATTAAAAACAGAATCGGATCTTTCCAAAATTTTAAGAGAGGTTTCGCACAACGTTTTGAGCTCAACGTATCTAAAATCCGAACCCATTCACTCGATTCATGCGTAACGAGATGTTAGTAATAACCCATTGTGTGAAAGCTCTCTAATATAAATATAATATAATAAATAAAATAGATAATATATAATATAAATATTCTCCTTGGATAATTTAAAATTTTTATACAAGATATGAGGAGTACCAATACCACCAATCACAATCGTTTCTGCATATTAAGCATCCAGGCCTTTATCAATTATAATTTTATGTTTATTTGAGATGAATTTCCAACTTACGATTGTTTAACGTCTTTATAACATTGTAATAATGGCCTAAATGGGAGAGGAAAGTTGTAGGTAAATCCAAAACTTGAAATTATTAAATGGTTTCTTTTTCGAAGACGACGCACAACGGTTTCTAACTAAGATCACCTAATAATGCATCTCTGGTTTGTTTGTTTGTTTACTTTAATTTGAACTGATGTATTTGACCAGTGGAGTACAGAAATGAATAAATTTTAAAATGACCGACTTCGGGAGAACCCCCCCCCCTTTGAAACAACCATTGAATTGTTTTAAGATTACATATTCTTAGCTCTTATATGTCTTTTCAAGTGAGTTTGACACCGAGTTATTTCTTTACTTTTTGTGATCTATTTGTTTCCCCCGTTATCATTTTGTCTACCTTTTCACTGCTTTAAAGTCGGTTTAATGTCCTGCTTATTTATCACATCATGGTGTGACAGGTTTAAATATTTGTTTTGATTTAAAATATATTTTTCTTTTCATAAGTTTTGCTCTAAAACATGTTTTGTCTTACAGCAAGCCTACAACATGTTAATGTTTCGGTTGTCATTCTAAAGTCCAAAAGAGCATTATTTAATCGTAAATTGGTGTTCTTGCAGAATGGTTTAATTTAAGGTGATAAAAAGACTTACGTAAACTCGAACATCCTGTAAATTGTAAACCTATTGCAGCAATTATCAAAATTCTTGGTACTTTGTTCATTTTGTTGACGCATCAGAGTGAAAATGTTTCGCTAATCCATAGTGACTCTCTCTTAGGGTGAGTAGTCCTCATACAGGACAATTAGTTAGTCCTCCTCCAATTGTTTCGATCAAGTATTCCAACATCCGAAAGGTGCTTTGTTGCGATCAGTAGTAGCCTGACAGAAATTGGCATTCTGATTTATCAGAGCCTTTTTTATGTTATTATGGTTGAGTTTTTCATGGGATAGTAAAGGCTGAGGATCCCACTATGGTATCTTGTCAATTGAAACGTGATATCCTAAAAATAATAATCCTTCAAAACTTATCACACTAGATTTTCAGGATTTGATATTTGGTAGATTCCACGATGCAATTCCAAAACGCTGATACACCAAGTCCGTCCGGAGCGTTTCAACCGAACCTGACCGGAACCTCAACGATCCGATCCCAACCACTCTCTTCCTATGTCTGTGACTGCAACAACTTCTGCTACTGGCAAAGGACAATACACAGAAAACACACCACTAAGAGTCTGCGTTAACTACATTTGTCTTGGAAACCTCGACGAACTTCAGTGAGTTGCGTTTCGATAAAATATTAAAAAACAGAAAGCCATTAAGAGTATTTTAAGTGTGTCTAATGGACTGATGTTGATTCACTTGTTGAGATTTAGACTACAACATATCCTATATAAGTATTAGACAGAGGCCTATCAGTTAAACATTCTGCCCATTTCGGTTTATTTAATGCGTATTGATTTCCGTAAGTCTCAACACTCGACCATGACCTAATGGATATTTAATAAATCATCAGTTTCAAATCATTGTTTTTGTGACAACTAAGGTGTGGTTACAAATTGTTATAGTCACCATTTTTTCTGACCGGTGGAACAGGATCAGTAAGCTTAGTCCGCTAGTAATCATCGTCCGTAGGACCTGCGTTCCTATGATGATATATTGTTCTAGTTAGACTTAGTTTTTTGCTATAATGTACATGATAAAATGAATTCTGGCGTATATTCCAGACGGACTACCATTCCTGCTATATACTAGGAAAATACGTCCATCGGACTCACGTAGGATGGACGGATACCGGCCAAAGGTCACGATCGCGCAATCGGTGCCAATATTCTGACGCTTTTGAAGCGGAGGATGTCGACCATAGTTCATAGTTGATCTTATGATGACGTCGTCTTTATAAACATATCTAAAGATTTGGTTAGAAACTTTGCATCATGGCTACGTGAATGCTTACAAAGGGCCCCGTATATCACCGCATGTAGACAGATCGCCTAAAATTACACTCGTATGATGCGGGACTCGACATTCAACGGGAAATCGGAAACAATTTGTCACCAATAATGTAGCAAATTATTTTTTTACTGCTTAATAATTGGTGAATGACAGTCATATTAAGTTCTTCAAGTATGAGAATGGCATGACATTCTAATAAATTCAAGGTAACTCGTTTGAAAAATGATGGCGGTGATTGAAATTGATGTAAAGATAAAACCGCAACAAAATATATAGATTTCTTTGAAAAACTGCAGTAACATTGGTCTCTAACATGTCATGCAATTAATATTTGAAACACAACTATCATTCGAACTTAAGATCGGACATAACTATGATGTTACTTTTACTTTATTACCTTGAAGTACACATGATAGAATCATGATGATAACCCTATTTTAGATATGATTTTTTATTCTCCCGTTCCCTGGTTCCCCAAATTTTCAATTTCACTAATTTGATTTATATGCCGTTGCTATGTAGTTGCTAAGCAAAATAATGAACCGAAATTACATTGGAATAGTGCCAAGTCAAGCATTTATGTAATGTCTTGGTAGATCCATTCTGATACTCAAACCATCTATGCCATGCTTTCTAGAAACTGATAGGAGACTGTGATATCTCACGATGTGGTAGATCGCTGGTCATATAAAAAAACTAAAAAAAACTCCATTTTAACTCTGTTGAACTACTAAGTTAACAACAATATCAACATCATTGAAATAAGACAAACGTTGTGATGTAGTGTTATAAAAAAGGTTGCAGATATTAGGGTTAACAAACCGTCTTTTGAGTGTGCGCTACCTTTCCAGCTTCCCCCCCAATGGATTCCCTGTGACGATATGTGAACAAAAATGGTGACATATAAAAGCGATGCATCTATATTTGACCTCCCCTATTTTTAAAAGAATAAAACAATCTGAGCTGATTTTAGTTTGAAGAATATTAATGTTGGATCGTACTCAAGTCTCAAGGTTCATGTTATTGTCTAACTTGAAACCTCATTACGATAATCTGTTTATTGAAAACTTCAGTGTGTCGAGTGTCTGTTGCGTTCACACTACCAATTGTAAGGTTTGATTTAATCGGATTGTTACATTTCTCAATGCATTTCAGAAGAGTATTTGGAATAATGGATTTCACCCAGTTTTCTCTAAAACAGGGTCTTATCCGAAAAGGTAACCCAAATAAATCTTAATAACTCAGTCGTCCTGCTATATTGTGTTTTGTCATATTCAATACAATTGAACCTTGTTCATTCTAGTAAGTGTCATTGGTCTATCTATCTAATATCTATATGGTCACGACTTTATGGCTATTTTACAAAACATCCACTATGAAAAATCACCCAATATAAACTTATGTGTACACTAACAAGTTAAAAACAACCCTAGAAGCATCAGATAGGTTAAACCATGGGCTTTCAATACTACTTTCGAACGGTAAATTAATTTTTGGGGGCGGACTACCGGACAACAACACCTATCAGTTTTGAAACATTTCAAGAGGACTATCATATAATCTAATTTTTCTTAGTTCAAATATAGATGTCAGGCTGATTAAACAGCGCAGCGCAATTTATCTAATGGTATTCATATTATAGGCACCATCTTTCAAATACAGGCCTGCAGAACTCGTTCCTCATTCTTCCATGGACTTCCTTGAAAGAAGGAAAGAAGGTAGAATGTAATGTCTGGAGCTGTTAGGTGGATTGAATATACATTTAATAAAGAGAATGAAATGATCAATTGTTTGAAGTGCAAAATGAATGTTTTATTCTTTTATTTGTATAGAACACTCCTCTGTTGTAGGTTACTCTTAGTACCAATTGCGCAGCATAAACTTCTTGTTATAATTCCATGGCGACCCAACGGCCTACAAGATGTAGATCCGCCGTTTTGCAACATTGTGTCGACCACAGATTCTCTCTATTTTCTTAATGTACGTACGTAATATGTAGACAGGTTTAAAGCACGAATGAATCTTCATTTGCTCTTTTGCCAAATATGTACAATGGCAATGGCATTCGTAAGTAATATGATCCAACACTTCCTTGGTACATCGATTTCCAGTGTTGATAGTCTCTTAATGGTCCTTCACTTGTGTGCCCTCCTTACATTTTGTCTCTAATAAAACTCGATTATTCACTTGCCTGTGCAATAATACTCACATTTTGCACATCACATGATCTGTTGCACCACATTTATATCATCAACGGTCGGTTGCTTGTCTGTTATGTTACATGAATGTTTACTCGCTTGTTCCAAAACACTTTCATTTTGAAAAGTGTCATCGTCTTTCAATTCATGCAACCCTTCACGTACCCGTTCAATCACATCTGTAGCATCAATGTCCCTACTACTTTTGAGTAGCCATTTAACAGTGCTTTTTACATTGTTATATCCTTTTTTCATGTCTTTCGTAAGTTTGCCAATATCAGAGATAACAATTCCTGCCAAAAATAACGCTATTATTACCAAGGGTGGTACTCCAATGATTTTAGAATGTTTTGCCTCTGCAGGCTGGAAAAATATCTTTTTTATTGGCTTATATATGTTGACTTCTTTGAATTCTTCATCATCCGCTTTCTCTATGTCCCTCAGATATATAATATCTGGTTTATTGGGGAGTGTTATCGGAGCTGTAACGTTACCTGTTTCAGTTGTTGAAGAGCATGTGTTTGTTGTATTATTTGACATTGTTGTTATTAATGGTTCTGATGTTGTTGTTTGTTCTGATGTTGTCATTGGTACTTGTTTTGTTGTTGATTCTTGTGTTGTCTTTTGTTCTTGTGTTGTTGCTGGTTCTGATGTTGTCGTCGATTCTGACGTTGTCGTTTGTTCTTGTGTTGTTGTTTGTTCTTGTGTAGTTTGTTCTTGTGTTGTCGTTTGTTCTTGTGTAGTTGGTTCTTGTGTTGTCATTTGTTCTTGTGTTATCGTTTGTTCTTGTGTTGTCGTTTGTTCTTGTGTTGTTGTTAGTTCTTGTGTAGTTGGTTCGTGTGTTGTCGTCTGTTCTTGTGTTGTTGTTTGTTCTTGTGTAGTTGGTTCTTGTGTTGTCGTTTGTTCTTGTGTTGTCGTTTGTTCTTGTGTAGTTGGTTCTTGTGTTGTTGTTTGTTCTTGTGTTGTTGTTTGTTCTCGTGTAGTTGGTTCTTGTGTTGTCGTTTGTTCTTGTGAAGTCATTGGTGTAGATGTTCTCGCCTTACACGGGTGTTCTATCAAATAAATACAACAATATGTAACAAGGCATTAACATGACAAAATGTCACCACCTAAAACAATTTGGTAAATTTAAAGCAAGTTGGAAAATACCTTTTGACCTTAAGAAGGTTTGATTTGAACTTCTTAGAACATGTAGATGATTTTGACCTTGAAAAGGTCATTGAAAGTCAAATGTCAAATCTAAAGTCAGATTTGAACTTCTGAGAACATGTAGATGATTTTGAAAAAAATTTAGTCAATTTGAAGCAAGTTGAAAAAAGACCTTTTTGACCTTGAGAAGGTCATTGAAGGTCAGTCAAATTTGAACTTCTGAAAAGATGTAGACGATTTTGAAAAAAAAATTTGGTCAATTTGAAGCAAGTTGAAAACAGACCTTTTTGACCTTGAGAAGGTCATTAAAGGTCAAATGTCAAATCTAAAGTCAGATTTGAATTTCTGAGAACATGTAGATGATTTTGAAAAAAAATTAGTCAATTTGAAGCACGTTGAAAAAAGACCTTTTTGACCTTTTTTGACCTTGAGAAGGTCATTGAAGGTCAAATGTAAAATCTCAAGTCAAATCTAAAGTCATATTTGAATTTCTGAGAACATGTAGATGATTTTGAAAAAAAAAATTAGTCAATTTGAAGCAAGATGAAAAAATACCTTTTTGACCTTTTTTGACATTATGAAGGTCATTGAAGGTCAAATGTCAAATCTAAAGTCAGATTTGAATTTCTGAGAACATGTAGATGATTTTAAAAAAAATTTAGTCAATTTGAAGCAAGTTGAAAAAAGACCTTTTTGACCTTTTTTGACTTTGAGAAGGTCATTGAAGGTCAAATGTCAAATCTTAAGTCAAATCTAAAGTCAGATTTGAATTCCTGAGAACACGTAGATGATTTTGAAAAATTTTTTTAGTCAATTTGAAGCAAGTTGAAAACAGACCTTTTTGACCTTTTTTGACCTTGAGAAGGTCATTGAAGGTTAAATGTCAAATCTTAAGTCAGATTTGAATTTCTGAGAACACGTAGATGATTTTGAAAAAAAAATTTAATCAATTTGAAGCAAGTTGAAAACAGACCTTTTTGACCTTTTTTGACCTTGAGAAGGTCATTGAAGGTCAAATGTCAAATCTAAAGTCAGATTTGAAGGTCAAATGTCAAATCTAAAGTCAAATCTAAAGTCAGATTTGAATTTCTGAGAACATGTAGATGATTTTGAAAAAAAATTTAGTCAATGTGAAGCAAGTTGAAAAAAGACCTTTTTGACCTTGAGAAGGTCATTGAAGGTCAAATGTCAAATCTAAAGTCAGATTTGAACTTCTGAGAACATGTAGATGATTTAGAAAAAAATTGAAGTCAGTCTAAACAGTATTTGTTAAGTTATAGGAAGTTGTAAGAAATTGTTACAGACGCCGGACGCCAACCGCCAGACGCCGGACGCCAACCGCCGGACGCCAACCGCCGGACGCCAACCGCCGTCGCAAAAAACGGAGACCATAACAATATGTCACCACTTTTGGTGGTGACATAATAAACATATTTATTAATTGAAGACGACATGTAGATAACCAAATATCAAGCAACTATTTATACTGTAGTTGATATTTCTACTATTCTCTATACAATATGTATATACTTTTAACGAATGTATTATTAGCGGCTATTCTAAGTGTACATGGAGAATGGAGATTATACATTTTAAAATGTCTATAAACCTCTACATAAAAATTACTCTTGACTCACTTGACTCACAAGTAACCTAAAACCTCATTATCATCATTTCGTCGCAGAGCAAAATCGCATGCGCAACGCACGAAACGAAGCGCAAATATTTCTAAAAATGATATTACTACTTCGACGCATATTTATGATATTTATTTTGTATCAAAATTGGACAATACACGATCCATGTGAAAGTCGAACCATATGATGCGACACTCGAACTTATCGTATGATCTGTAAAATGAAGCCCTCTGATTGGTCAGTTCTTGTGCTGTACCAATCTGTATTGCTACTGAGATTGTCCCCGTTGATCATCTCCGTCGCAATACAGAAAATATTGGTACGGAAGAGACAATCTCAGTAGCAATACAGAGGATCACACGATAAAAACGTTATTGAACGATTTGAAGTGCAATACAGGATATATTCATACTTTCAGACGATTGTAACAGTTCCAGTTAAGCAACTATATATAATTTTGCGAAGTGCCTAATACATTATTTTACCCAATGCATCATATAAGAAATCATATATGCGATGCATTATAATTACCATACATGTAATTATTGATTTGAAACTCGCATCGTAATATGCGAAATACGCATCATCATTTGCGAAACTCGCATCATCGTATGCGATTTACAATCTATGTTATACCAACAGTTAATTTTCTTACATAACTTATTTTCATTCACACACGCACTAATTCTATCAAGTGTCACGCAAAGAGTTGCACTTGACTCTAACTTTGAAAAAATCCAAAGCAATGTTGATATGTCACACGGATCGCGTTATAAGTAGCATGGAATACCGAAAGAATTACACACATATAAATGTAAAGGATAGGTACCGATATGGAGAACTGAATTCAACAATGTTTTTCTCTAAACCAATCATTGAAAACATTCTGAAAAAACACGGTATTTTATGTAATGTTGACTGATGGACAACAATTTAATGCGAAAATTATTTAGAAATATTTTATACAACTGTTTTTGTTAACATTTTTTGTTTTTTAGTACAATTGTTTTTGCTCCTTTCTACCAATTCTTGAGAATAAAATAAAATGTCTTTCCGAACCTTGTCGGAACAAAATAGCATATACAACATGTTTTTTAAACCTCTCAATATTTTAGTTGTGCAAAGAAATTTTTGGTTGATTTTAAAAAATGATTCAAAAAATTAAAAAAAATCCCCTCCAAATAGATAGCAATCAAGATAAACCTTTTATTTCATTAACAAGATGGTTTTTTAAAATCAACCAAAATTTCCTTTGTACAATAACAATATTGAGAGACATGTTGTGTTTATGTCGTTTTGTTCCAATGAGGTTCGGAAAGATGTTTCATTTCACTCTGGAAACATGATACCAAGAACAAAACAAGTGTGTGATGTTTTTCTAAAACAATATAGATTAAAGTATATACACTCCCCTCCATAAGTTTGGCAACCTTTTTTCCCCCATTGAACTACGTGTTAAAGCCTCTTTACCTTTGAATTTTTATTTACTTAACCAGCGATGAAAATACTTCTACTATTGATGGAAACGTAATTTGACTTTAATTCCAATTCCTCCAAATTTTCTCAATTTTTTTCCTCAATTACAATAGGTCGAAAATTGATGATAAATTTGATGAATTTTTGAAAATCGACATTTCCATGTTAACCAATGGGAAATGGTAGGTTTGCCGCAAGTCATATGATAGAATATCCATCCATCCGATTCTTTGCAAAAAATACGAGTTAGGCAGGCAATTGAATTTACTAACTTTATTTAACCAAAAATTGATATGTTTCTTCAGGTTCAACAAAGTTATAAGGCTTTAAAGTCAAAATTGTTTTTCAAAAAACCTCTCCCATTGAAATAACACAGGAGGCGAAAAATTATTTTCAAAAATGACTTTGAAGCGCTGTAACTTTAATATTCATCAAATAAACTAAACACTTAGTGTTCATAAAAGTTAGACAATTCACTTTTCTATATAAAAATATTTTTTGCTGAATCTTTTACTGAAAAGATATCATGATTTCTGATTTGCCCCGAACCCTCCATTTCCCATTGGATTACATGGGAATGACGATTTTCAAAAATTTATCATCAATTTTCGACCTATTGTAATTGAGGAAAAAATTGAGAAAATTTGGAGGTATTGGAAATAAAGTCAAGTTACGTTTCCATCAATATTATAAGTTATTTCATCACCGGCTAAGTAAATAAAAATCCAAACGTAGAGAGGCTTTAACACTTAGTTCAATGGGGAAAAAAGGTTGCCAAACTTATGGAGGGGAGTGTATATATTTTTCAAATTATATAGTTACCATTCAAAAGATGGCCATCAAATTGACGATGTGTTGAATTTTTAGATTTTTTTATGACTGGTTTAATAGAAACGTGCGTTCAATATCGATACCACTCCTTTCGAAAGAACGTGTCAATTTTACACACGCATTGAGTTTAAATCCAATCCAATCCAGCCACTCAATTCAATACACTCTTTAATCTTTACCATGATATCACGAGTACTTTGACTGACTTTATATTGACTAACTGAATATCAAATGATGTAAATCAAGATAATCTCAACTCGCATTTGGGTATTCGAACCCAAAGGACAGGTGGCGGTAAACCCCTCTTTTAGCCCCCCTACAAAACAAGTATATATTGACATGGAGTTGAAGAGGAAGTATGACTCATTACTTAAAATGTGATTTCTGAGAGTTTTGACATTTGACCTTGACACTAGGGTGGTTTAAAGGTCAACTTTGAGAGTTGCTATTTTTGTCAAAATTTGACTGTTTCTAATCCAAGAAATGAGAGCAATTGGCTTTATTTTGATTGTGACTGATAAAAAGACATGTGAATAGAAATAAAATTTTTTTTTAATAAATTATCATGGGCAATTACCTGAAAATCTTGAGAATAAATACCGATATGGGCATTTTTAGGGGGACTTAATTTTCTTGTTTCAAAAATGAATGTTCTTGTTGCCTTTTGAGACTCTAACAGTATCCTAAGCATGTTTTAAGAGTTGGGATGTGATTATTATTTTAAATGCCCATGGGCAATTAGGATAAAATGACTGAAATTAAATGCACACAAGGGCACTTCAAAAAGAATGGATTTTATTTTTTCAATTGCTTCTCGCCAGTTTTCTAAACATATTTGCCACTAAACTTTTACTAAATGCCCATTGGCATTTGGCATTTTATTTGGCATTTGAAATTAAAATGTTTGAATGTACACTTCCTTTTAAAGTTATTTGCCAATTTGCAGTTCCCATATTTGAAACACAAATAATTCAGAGAAATCCTCTCTCAATATATATCATAAAATATAAGGCAGCATAATGTATGAATGGCATGACACTCAAAGGATTGCCTAAAATAATTTCTACTTATTCCCTATTTAGCAAAACATTTAGGCCATTCAAGGATTTTCTTATAATAATGTCACTAAATTCTATGTTTTCAGAAAAAACAAAATGTCCCCATGTACTCTCTACTTGTAATGTATATAAATGACAAAGGGAATTGTGATCTTGGATTATATTGTAGCGAAATGAGTTCCAAGATTTTGATTAAATACTACATGTATGTAAACTTCATTAACAAGGTCATCTGAACTCAAGAGGTGTGTTACTTGCTTTGGCACAATGTGTTATTGCATTTTCACTCTTAAATAATATATAAAACCCTTTAAATAAATGAAGGTTTTGTAGTTTTTAATATAAGGCTCTTCATCAGAATGCCAACATATAATTAATTTTGGATGGCCTAATCTGTACATGCAGTTATGTAGTGTACATGTATGCCCAGGTTAGCAGCCATATTGAAAACATAAACCAGTCAGGCTTATTTTCATCACAAAAGTTAAGTTTTAGTGGTGAGCCCAAACTCCCACAAAAATGATATTTGCAGAGAAGCTACTTTACAGTCTCTGCATTATACAGTTTCAATATATTTTTTGTGGGAGTGTGGGCTGACAGTTAACTTTTCAATGAAAGGGAATGAGCACCATGCTAAAACTTGATAACAAAGTGAACGAAAAATAACAATGTTTTCTAGATTTGCATAGGTAAACTACATATATCGCTAGATTTTGTCAATTTTCTTCTCCGAATACTTGTATGCCATATGTTCCATATATTAAATTCTATATAATGATAAGTTTTGATATTATTTTGATGGTAAACATAATGTGTACCCATATTCAGACAGCCTTGTGATAGGGGTTCTTACTGCCAATTTTTCAAAGAAACGGAAAACTTATGTAACTTTTTGAAATCGCACATCTCAAGAAGAAAGGTTTATCTACAACTTGCAATTGGTTTTAAAAGTAAATGGAAGAATGAGTTTTTCAGAAAAAGTCTAAGTGGACCAATAGTCTGTTAAATGGACCTGTTCTTTGTCAAATTATGCTTATTATCTATAATTTTTCTCATTTCGAAGTCGGTGTATATGACTTTTCAGGTTGATGCAAGCCTGTTTTAAAAATTCCAGGTGGGTACGCGCCTACTTGCTTTAATGCTGGGAAGATCACGGTGTATACCTTATATCAGTTATGACCAATATCCCCAGAGATAGTTTCGGTCCGAATAGGACAACACACCCTAGCAGGTGGGTTTGTATTGCCCAGGAGATATGGTCCGATGGACCTAATTCCCTAGGAGACCATATTTCGATAGGACCAGAAATGCTTTTACACCGGGATGATTGAATAGATGCACGGTCGTATGTGTCTGGATATGACGATATAACAGACAAAACTCAAACTCTGTTCATTAATAACATTTTTAGATAACTCTGGTGTATTGATTTGAACTTAAGATAAAAAGAAACAAATAGAGAATTTTCTTTACTCATACTTTACATGGCAGCTGACGTCCCCAAGTGGCACTTTCATATTGTATTAATATAAAAAGTGTAATTCAGAAAAGTATAACTAAATATATTTCTAATAAAAATGTAGATAAACATAAATCTTCAATTACGGAAGTAATTTAACAATACGTTTAAGAATATAATTCTGGATAAGTTTAAGAATATAATTCTGGGTAAAGGTAATGTAACACATATAAATAAAAAGGTCGAAATATTAATCATTTGAAATGAAATATTGTTACACATTTGCGCGAACATGATCTTTTCTGGTTTTGCACATTATGTTATCCAAAGATTAGTCCCACTAAACTAATCAATTTGGAAGCTGCAGCTGACTTTAAACTAATCTATGACTTTCCCACTTCCAATAGTATTTGTGTAATGCTGAATGCTGCCTTTTGCTTTAACTGTCACTTTTTAAGCGACCTTGAACTATAGATTCGACCTTGACATTCCCTGAACTCATTTAATATTAAATATCAAGTTTGATACCCAACCCTCACTTTGAACTCTGGAATCTTCACTTACTATTCGAGGTTTTACAAGTCTACAATACCGCACACGGGCATTTTACCGAGTCTAGGTTCCAAGTACCAAGTACCAAGTTCAACGGTTTAGGAGATGCCAAAATACAAACAAAAAGCCCGACAAAAAGCTGCTTTCTAAAAACATGGCCACTCTTGCACAATCTAATACAAAAACATGCTTACCACCATTCGGGAATCCTATTATTTGAGCATAGTATTTTGTGTCCGACTCTATGTTTATTAACCGAGCTGTTCCGTTGTGTTCTGCTGACATTCTACATTTCCTAAATCCATTTTTTGGCTCCTTTGTATTGTAATGTACGGACATGCAGCATTTTGTTGCATTTTCACAATGTTCCTGACACTCTTCAATCGAAATGTTGAAAATCACTTCGAATTCTACTGATGAATCGAGGTCTAGTTTATGCCGCGGTAGTATTTGAGACCATTTATACCCTGAAAAAGAATGAAACACGGTGATGAAAGCCGAAAACTCGACAAGTCACTTTTTAATTTACTTACATGTACACACAATTCACCTCATGCGGGTACTTGTTCACTTTTAATTGATTAGTCGAGTTTTGTTATAAAAATCTTATCAGTCTTACCTGAAGTAGCAGCGTTTCTCACACAATCAAAGGTTATGTATACTATTGTCAATGCACAAATTATTTTTCCAAACATATTCGCAATCAAAACAGATTATAATGTTGAATTCATCCTTTTTTCTATGCGTCTTATAACTCGGATCAGACTTCCTAAGTAAACTTCCACTTGGATATGAAAAATGTCGATTTTTATACGAAAATACCGTTGTAATTTTTTCAACATCATTTTATCAATTAATATCGCATTAGTTGATTAAAGTGTATTACCTCACTTTCCCAGGAGAAAAAAGAGAATATGAACGTTGTTTGAAAGGCACGATGAACTGAAAACGAGCCAATTTGGCGAAAAATTAAGTGACCATATATGTTATAAATACAACAATTGTGGAAAATGTTAAAAAAGAATACCTTCATTCAAATTTGTGAGAGAAATCGAGGGAAATATTCATGACGTGAGACTTTGGTAAACTGATGTAATTAAAATGATGCCTACTGTGCCTATAAAAGTCATTTAATACCAAGAATGTACATTTTATTTGATTGAAAGTGTATGTATACCTTTATTCAGTTTTGTTTGCGATTTGGCCATTCATCTCCTCGCTGTATATAAACGATGCTATTGAGTGCTATGTCATCCCCTGGTTTTCCCAATCGTTTAAGTAATTGGAGGATAATAAATGTGTGGCATCGCCATAAATTGATTTCTAATTGTGATAGTGCTAAATATTGGATATATCTCTGTTGATGAATGCAAATGATGGATTCCAGGTTAACTCGGGCTATATATTGAAACGATTTGAAAAACTCTATTTGTTAATTTGGATCGGGTACTATATTTTGAAAGATAAAGAATATGTCTATAAAATCAACTTGTAAAACCAACATGACTTGATAAATTACAGATCCCCCTTAATGTTCAAAATTGTTATTCGTTATCCTCAACAATGCAATATTGATATTGCACTTTATTGACTCATTCGCTTTATGTTAGGACTGACTTCGTCATATTTACAGATAAACTTGATGAAGCATTAACACTATCTAAATGCCTAGCTGCTTACCAATTCATGAAGTACGTTGGTGGTTGCCATTTAGAAACAAATCGAGTATAAAAGAAAAAAATTAATAAGGAATGAAATACATTATACACAAAGCCCATAACACTGACTGAAATATAAAAATGTTATCATCGGACACTTCGAGATGTTAAAAAGAGAATTGATTTAAAAATGTGACATATTCGATTGAGATTTAAAGAACGAGTCGATAATTATTGTCCCTGGTGCTGAAAGCATTTATCTGTTTATCGGTCAGGCTAGCTTGTCTATTAAACTTCTATTCATATTTCAACAAAACTCCTGATTTTAAGCGTTTTTACCAATTATCAGATCTAGACGAACTAGTGGAGCGATAAAACATCAATTCCAAATTATTCCATTTGAAGTGTATGCATCATTTGTACAATGTTTTATTCGTAATTTTACTAAAAAATAGAGCTCTATACCCCTGAGAAAAACGTTTAGAGAACAAAAACATAATACTTGCAAAGTTATATGTGATTTAATAAGAGAGGCGTTTTGTGCAATAATCAAAAACAATTAATTGAATTGTGTTGATGTTGGTAATCGATCGCCTCTGTCCTTTATGGAGTTGTAATCAAGAATTTTTATCGTCTGCTCTTGAAGTTAATAATTGAAAGGATCGGTCGGTCAAATAATGCTCATCAACTATAATCGCTGGTCATGGGGGTCAGGGGGGGGGGGGGGGTAGAAACGCGTCCAGTATTCTCGTCTGGTAACCGAGACACCACATTACAGAAAAACTAGATGGATAGCTGTAATTTTATAAGAATTGGATGTTCCCGAATATGGGAATCTGATGAGCCTTTTTTTTAGGTAAGAACACACCGTAAAACGATCACAGGCTACGGAGTAAAATTACACCTACCTCTCTCTGGATCAAAAATGAAGGTCTGCGTCCAGTATTTCCAGTTGTACCAGGCGAAAATACTGGACGCGTTTCCGGACGCGTTTCTATCCCCTGTTAGTGTCATCCTGATGTAGACCGGTTGAGTTTTTGAAACAAAGCAATGCAATCACCTCTACTTGTGTGATACATTGGGTAAATAGAAAACAATAACGAAATGATTGAAATATAAGATGGTTGACATGAAATTGTTTGAAACAGTGTTAGATGCTAAAATGCAACATAGTTCAAGTGAGCACTAGCTATTTGCATTCGTTCGACTTTGCTTCTCAAAAGAGAGCCTCGTCTTATTTATAACTAGACTCTGCGCGCAGGGTAAGTGAGCAACTATGTATGTACAATGTAAAACTACATTGCATTCGTGGCTACAAGAAACTTCAAAGGACAGGTATTGATATGGTGAACTAAATTCAACAATGTTTTTCTCTTTAACATTCTGTAAAAACACGGTCCTTTATGTAATGTTGACCGATTGACAACAATTCAATGCAAAAATTATTTACACATATTTTATATACATGTTTTTGTTAACATTTTTTGTTTTTTAGTGAAATTGATTTTTGTTCCTTTCTACCAATTCTTGAGAATGTCTTTCCGAACCTTGTTGGAACAAAATAGCATATACAACATTTTCTTAGACCTCTCAATATTATAATTATACAAAAGAAATTTTGCTTGATTTTACAAAAAGTATGCAAAAACAACCCCCCAAAATAGATGAAAATTAAGATAAACCTTTTATTTCATTAACAAGATACTTTTTAAAAATCAACCAAACTTTCCTTTGTACAATTACAATACTGAGAGACCTAAACACGTTATGTCGTCTTGTTCCAATGAGGTTCGGATAGATGTTTCATTTCAGTCCGAACATATCGTATTTTCCAAAACAATATAGAGAAAAATATATAAATATATTTCAAATTATAATGTTACCATCCAAAGTATGACCAAAGTAAACACCTCTTGAGGATCGAAAATGTGCTTTATGTGACTCTAATGAGATAGAGGACGAGATACACTTCACTCTCAAATGCTCTCACTACAATGTTTTGAGGAAAAAATTTCTGGCTATTGTTAATAAGCTGGCCCCTAGCATTGATACTGGTACAAATGATCATATTCTGCTGTTTACTAGACTTATGCACACGCCCTGTATACAGAGAGCTTTTGCAAGTACATTATTTAAGATGTTCAGTAAAAGAAACTTTGATCTGGAAAGACTTTAACAGTACCTCTATTTGAGATAATTCCATAATAAACTATAATGTATTTTCTCATACTGTATTCTATTTGTTGATATTCAATTATACATAAGTTGCTTGTCTGGGGATAAAGGCCATATGATATTGATTCTGCCACTTTACAGCACTTTTACATACTATTTAGAACTGTGATACTGCCAAAATATATACAAGATGCAAACCTGTAGATCCACAGGAGGGTATTGGGCCAACCAGAGGGCCCTTACATCACTGATTAAGCAGGGTTTCTTTTTCCATTTGCTCCCAGGAACATCAACCTTGGGGAAGATGTCTCCTCTTAGTAAGTGGAAGTAAACAGTGAACTCAGTATACAAAAGTCATGGTCTTTATCACTGTCTTATTGTGCATTTAGTAATTTTCACATGGGAATATTAATATTACCCACACATGTATTAACTTGTTGTCTCATAAGCCGGCATCGGCTATAAGCAATGTTTTTAAAAAAAGTGTTTTAAATGTATTTTAATATTATTGCTTGTGACACAAAAATAAACTATATTAAACTAAACCATTAAATTGACGATGTGTTAAATTTTCAGAATGTTTTGATGACTGGTTTAAGAGAAACGCGTGTTCAAAAAGTTCACCATATCGATACCACTCCTTTTGAAACGAAAATACTATACCTTGTTATGAAATACGTCCTTGTTATAAATCAAAAACTGATTGGAGTGGCCAGGTGATAATACTTGTGAATATCAAGTATGTTTATCATAAAGAAGGATATCGTGATTTTATATCAGGCTTTTGATTTAGGAGCATTTAAAGCTGCAAAGCAAAATTGTTCGAAAGGTTTTTAATGCAATTGTTCGAAAGGTTTCTGATGCAATTCCTGCAACAAGGGATCAACAGAATTCGCTTACCTTTCTAGGAATGTAGACTATGTCCCCTAATTGCACAATATCAATAGAGAATTCTCAAATATTACCTTGTGCTCCACTACACAGCTTTTGATGACATCACACAAACGGGAAATTTCCTCTCAGTTCAAATATTCAAATTATGAGATTAAGCATCATGATAAACCATGACATCTCATTTCTTCTCAGCCCTGAGATCATGTTCCAGGTGAAACAGGAAGATGCTATGAGTATCAGAATGAGATTAAGGGACAGAGTCATGTCACCCAAAGCCAATGGTAGGAAAAAGAAGGATCTAGAGTCCATGAGAAAAGCAAATACGTTGCTGCAAGCTACTTATACCTATTTATTGTAATAACATGGCTAGAATTAGAAGTCACAGATTTACAGCATCTTCGATTTCCAAGTGGTTGTTACACTGAAGTTGGAGCAACTAAAACCCTGAGCCCAAAACAATGGTCACCAAAGCGACCGCCATAACAATGTAATTGAAGCTAACCCATTGTCTTTTGTTTTGTTTTGTTTTGTTTTGTAGGTTATTATTTTCCTGTGAAATTTTCAATGTGATTGAATAATGTATGAAAAAATTAGAGCAGTCGGTTACTTACTTTCTGATCGGGCCTCGTATATATAAAAATAATGGTACAAAAAGAGCCAAGAAAGGATTCTAAAAATTGCAAACCTGACATCAATATAGAAATAATTGATTAACATTATAAGGAAAACTGATTTCAATGTGATATGAGATAACATTGATATTATTTACATTTAAAGTACGATTTGATTTATTGTGTTGAAAACTTTAAGTAGTTAGTGAATTTGAATTACACCAGGAGAAAACACCCTCAGTAAACAATTAAAAATCGAAATAAGTATATACTTTTTAATCATGCTTACACAACGATGTTGGAGGTTTCCCCTGAATCTACTGATAGTGGTGTTTATAATCCAGCTACACAGCGTTCCTGCTCATGCAACAGACAAGGCAAGATCAAAAAATCTTTCATGTTGCGAGAAATGCAGATGTGTAGACTCGAATGTCCTATGTGATGGTGTTAAGAATCTAACTTCACTTCCATTGGATTGCCCAATCAACACAACTCAGTTGAGTCTTGTGGGTGGCGGACTATCTGAATTAAACGATGGAGTACTTGGCAAGCACTATGAAGCCTTGGAGTGTTTGAACATATCTGGGAATAGAATCAGTGTTTTACGCAATGCAACATTTGCTGGCTTGAAGGATCTGCAAGTTCTGAACATTGGAGACAATTTTTATTCCGCATCTGAATTAGACCCTTTTGTGTTCAGTTCGTTACCTAATATCAAACACATTGAGGTGACTAGCTGGGGCGATGCAATGGAAAAGGGAACCGATCGTATAGTGGCAAAGGCCTGGATGAATACACTACAAGGCTTAGAAAATTCGACAATTGAAACAATTATATTCAAACACATATCAAAAAATCCCGTAGCAGTTGAAAAGTCATACTTCAAACATTTAAAAAACTCCCCCGTAAAGAATCTTATTTTCAATGACATGGAGATTGTTGATATTGATATTGACTGTCTGGCATATCTTCCCAAGCTTGAGGTCATGGACCTTTCAACAAACACCTTAGAGATGACTTTTAGTTACTTCAAGATAATGATATACCTTTATAAGCTCACAAATTTGCGAGATGTGATACTGAAGGATAATTTAATGAGGCATGGTTCTGTAGTTGAAGAGGTCTTTACGAAAGAGCAAGCCATGACTTTTTATCAGTTTCCAAAAAGTATTCAACTGATTGACTTCTCTGGATCGGTCTTCGCATTCAGCTCATACTCGTTCTCATACGGTTTTAGGATTTTAAGTGATAACCAGCTTGAAAAAGTTGATATGTCAGGCATGAAACTCATCCATTACATTGGTGATGAAGTGCTTGGTTTCGTTAAATTAAGAGAACTGCACTTTCAAAATAACGAATGTGAGATCACTCCATCAATGCTTTCTTGTCGTCATGGCGCATTTGAATCATTACAAATTCTGGATATTTCCTACAATTATATCAACTGGTCTTCTGTCGAGAATGACACTCAAATATTTGAAAATTGCACAAAACTACAATATTTGGATATGTCCCATAATAAAATGAACTACATCCCCCTCACAGTTTTCAATGACACATATGAATTAAGGACCCTAAATCTTAGTGGTAACCACCTTGACGACCTAAATCTAGACATCAAGAGTCTAGGTGTTTTGGGAATGCTAAATATTTCTCATAACAAGTTGCAAATGGTTCCGACAGGCATTCGAGAAGACCTGGATTATCTCAAACAACGTCATAATATCAGTGTTAAACTGGACGTGACTGATAATCCTCTTATATGTAGCTGCCACTCATATGACTTCATAGAATGGATGCAAGCACATAGCAAAGACATACACCAATGGGACAAGCTACATTGCACTTATTTCAATGATTCTGTGATCCAGATGCGCACAATCAATGTTCCGACGCTACAAATAAAATGTGTACAGAGACTAATACTTGCAGGTACTATCCCGAGCGGAATGCTGATAATTGTGATCAGTATAACAGTTGTATGTTACAGACGAAGGTACAAATTACAATTCATTTTCCTGCAGTTAAGAGCTGCATGTAGGCATCACGGGAAAGAAAACGCAGACTTTGATTTTGACGCATTTATAAGCTATAGTTCCTTGGATATTACCTGGGGTAAGAAAACACTATATGTCAACTTGGTGGGGACATTTCACTACAAAATATGTATTGATGACGTAAACTTTAGACCAGGATCAGAAATCACAGCAGCCATTACGCGGGCAATAGCCAAAAGCAATAAAGTAATCCTGGTTATAACTCAGAATTTCCTACGTAGCAAATGGTGCACATATGAACTAGACCTTGCGACGGGTGAGCTGGCCAGTAAGGGGCGAGATTGTCTTGTGCTCATATTGAAGGAACCACTTAATTCACTACCTGAAGAATTAATCACTGATACGTTGCGTTCACTTCTAGACACTAGAATCTATTTGGAGTGGAGAGAAGATGCTGATAGAAAAGACGTGTTTTGGAGAAAGCTTCGTGATGTACTTGGCGAACCTTCATCTAGAGGGGACCACAATGAACAGGAAGAAAGTCCTCTATTCCCTCAGACTATAGAGGATGAAAATTTGGCTCAGCAAATCCTTGCACACGCTCAACAATCGGGTAAAAATGAGGATGAATCACCTTTGTTGAAAACCCAAAAGAGCTAAACTGGGAATTTAACTGTCACTAATATAAGGTATATACGAAAATAATTTAACAAGTTAAAGCGTGGTTGTAACATTACAATATATATGTATAAGTTCTTGATGACTCCTCTGCTTGTGAAGAAAGCCATGATGCAGGATAATGCAGAATACAATGAATAAAGAGTGAACTTGAAATATGTGTTGCATTTCTTTCACTCCCCCATTTTATTTCACTTTACATTGAAATTATAGTATTGTTGCAAATTTCTTTTAAGACCTACAAAAGAGGTCGCAAATTTGTACAGTTATTGTGCAATTTTAACTGAAGAAACTTGAAAACAGATTTGATTGCACTCGCACTGCCATCTTTGTTAAATTTTATTTCTTATGCTCCTGTAGGATCTGTAGTATATGGCCAAAGAGATGCAATGTACAACGTTTTGTCACATTTAATGTAATTGGTGAAACCACCAAAAAGGATTGCTTAATTGTAGCATTGATGTTGTTGAGAAAATTAATGCATCATTCATTAAACATCCACGATGCTTTGCTACGTGACTTATAATGGACTGGGAATGGGAATGGCATGCCAAAGGGGGAAACTGGAACACGCTTGAATATTGGTGTGAGGTCGGGTTCGGCCGAGTAAGCACCTCCTGCTGTATACACCCCGCCCATATGCAAGCATATGGAACACCTGTGGTCTGGTGGTTGGCCACATATACAAGCAGAGTTCCAGTGGGATTTAGGTGGAATGGGTCGCATTTGGGTTCCATGTTTCTCTTCTCTTGATCCATAGCCATCGGGAGCTGTCTTCTGCTGATAAGCAAATATCATTCTCTTTCTGATATTATATGAGTTATATGATATTTAAACCTCTACAGATGATGTCATATACATGAACTACACCAATGCCATGAATAATTTCAAGAATAAATTGAAAATTAAATTGGAATCACAAAGGGTAATACTGGACCAAAATTACGTAATATTTGTTGAAACCACCGACAACACAAAGTTGCACATTTCAAAATTGTACAAATTACAGTATAATGAATTCAAGCATCATGTTTTGTCAAATAATCATACGATGTTTAGCACGATGTTCTCTATCTAAGGAGTGACAGTCTCTATCTAATAAATTTCCTTCATTTTATCTTTAAACCACGCACTGTACTAGCAGTATATTGAAGATAAGACACAATTCACTACCAATTCTCCGTTTATGTCATACCTAAACATCATACTTATAATATACATAGTCAGTGTCTAATGTTTGGTACTTTGTTTTAAATACTGTATCATGTTTTAGACGCACCTATAATTCATATAATTTTAGGGTGCCAACGTTTCAAAGATGTAGCTTCTAAATAAATATCGTCCTCGTTACAATTTTGTGTTCTTCAACTATATTAATCTTAAATAGTTCTGTAATGATTCAAGAGTGGGGTATCCCGTTTTGATGCTCGAACCATTTTTGCATTGCTAGAAAGGTACTGATAGAAGGCTGTAATCTCTCACAACAGGGTACAATATGAATCTTATCCAGATTTGACTCATCGATATTATCAATAGCATTACTTAGAACATGGAAATGAACTGTACAATCCCTATTCTACTTTATTCTATTTGATTGAAGGGGCTTATCTTTGCACATCTGATCAAAGTCGTTTGGAACCAAACATTGACAAAATCATGCACGGGTACGGGTGTTGTCGGAAGATGGTGTGGTATAATGTTCACTCACATTTCACACTGTGGCTAGTCGATCTATGTGGATGCAGTCATTTATATGCAATGTATCATGGGTGCTCGCGTACATTATAGGGAATGGAATCATTGCAAAAATATGACAGCAAATCGAGGTAAATGATCTCAGAGTTTCTACTTAACATTGTGACTTGAAATCTTGCATACATATTCAATATGCATAGTATCACAATATGTGAAAGTTTCAGCTACTATATTCCTGTTATAGGAAAGATATTTGAAAAACATTTCGTAAACGTCAACATATATGTATAAAATGGATGCCACTATGTATCATTTGGAATCAGAACTGTAACAAATGGATGCTATACTAAATTATACTTTTATCATGATGATTTATTTACTGATGGACAACTGGCCAGATTTTCTTTGTATTCATTGTTTGGATAAACAATCCTCATTCAGTAAAGTAATTAGCAACACCATTACAAGACACCCTCATGAAGAATTGAAAATACTAATTATAAACCCATCCACATGATACATCATAATTGAATTGCTTTTTAAAGCGGATATTTCATACCATAACCCCAAAAATATTATAAAACGCATTGTATGTGTATTTTACTTCACATAGACATATCTGTGTACGTGAAATAATTGTATTACATGAATTTTTTATTCCCCATTATAAGGTAAACCTATGGCAAATTATACACACCTTCTCACAGCTATGAGCGAGATGATAAAACTGGCCGAGTGAACTCGTTTGAGTTATCTATTCTCCGTAAAAATGTCAGAGAATGTGTGTTTATAGCGTAGCTCTGGTTTTGTAAATCAATGAAGTATGATATACGCGGATGAGTAAATATAGATTATTTAAACAGAAGTGCAAAATTCTTCCATTGAAAAGTACAGAGGCGAGCACCCACGATACATTGCATATAAATGACTGCATCCACATAGATCGACTAGCCACAGTGTGTAAATAATCAAAAATTAAATCGATTTGATGAGAACGAAAAGGGCATGTTGAGCTTGCTTATCATAATATTGACATGCTTATCTTATATTAGTTATTTTTAATTAGAATACGTGACGCGATGACATGCTGAAATATGCCTTGTTCTACATTCATATATTGCCTATAATAACCAAAAAGAAACAATAACTAATGTATAAAGGTGTCAAGATGTAAAATTAGCTAATGGTATTGGTATTTTGAAAGTTAATGTAAATACTAATAAGGTATACCACACGATAATCAACTTGACAGTTTCCGTTCAACCTCGATAAAGGTTTGATGGCCTACAATAAATACATGTGCTATTAGACTATATGTAGGTAGACAGCTTAAACCAATGGTACAGGGTTGGCCAAAAACATCCACATTTTTGTTTTGCTACAACATTTTTAATATTACATAAATATGTTTAAATCATACATCATTGGAAAGACAATTCAATTTCCAACAAAATGATACATAATTCATTTCACATAGAAGCGTATTTGTCTTGAAATAACATTTCAATTATCACAGGGGTCAAAATCATGATTTACCAATAGATTAGATGCGAGTAGAAAAAATCTTGATTTACGCCATTAAATATTCAAAATTCAGTCAAAGCGATGTTATATTTGAAATCTACATGTAAAAGTACATCTAGAAATATGGTTTCGAAAATTGTTGATCAATTTTGAAAATTTAATCAATTTTGAAAGTGTGATTTCTAGTTCGGGTTGATTCTCCATAGAGCCCATGTTACAAAATCACAAAAATTGAAATATCTTTTCTTGTATTGGTCAGATAACATTTTCATTTACTGGACATATTTTGATTTGCATAACTATTAGATTCATAAGGGTCATATGAAAATTGAACCACTAGAACAGATGTAATTTAAGTCACAGGCTGGTATCGAAATATTTGTCCGCTGTGACGGAGCATGCTATTTTTCATAAAAACACTAAGAATACTTCACGATTTATTTTTTAGCTCATATGTTTCGTTATACCATACAAAATTACTTACTCCATGCAATGGATATATCATTTGCGGGTAACTTTCACTTCTGTTTGAAGTCCAATTACGCTGGGAAGAAAAGCTATTGAAAATGGCGCCGGAGTATCATACTTCAAAATGTACCATTTCTTGTTTAACTTTCTAATGGCACGATATAGTGACACGATAATATTTACACATGGTTTCAGCATAACTATGAAGGTATGAATGAGATGTTGATGTATTTGGTCTTTTTAATTCTTTTATAAAAAATTAATGTTTAATTTTTTTGTCCGCTGTGACGGAGCAGTTGCAAATGTGAACTGTGAAAATGCTCCGTCACAGCGGACAAAAAATATTAATATTATTTTTTATTAAAAAAACTAAAAAGACCCAATGCATTAATATCTCATTAATACGTTCAGAGTTATGCTTAAAACATATGTTAATATTATCGTGTCACTATATAATGCCATTAAAAAGTAAAAAAAGAAATGGTACATTTTAGAGTTTGATACTCTGGCGCCGTTTTCAATAGATTTTACTCATAGCGTTATTGGACTTCAAACAGAAGTGAAGGTTACACACAAATGATATATCCATTGCATGGAGTGAGTAATTATCTTTGATATAACGAAACATATGAGTTAAAAAATAAATCGTGAAGCATTCTTAGTGTTTTTTATAAAAAATAGCATGCTCCGTCACAGCGGACAAATCTTTCGATACCAGCCTGTGTAAGTTAAAGGGAACTTTCTACTATACCCGCCATGCTATCTGACCCGAACGAGCCACCTGGTGGTGAAACTGGTAACTACCTACTCGCATCTGCGTTATTGCTTAATACAGAATGCTAAGTACCGACCAGACAGATATAACCCCTATGTCAGCTTTGGGGATATAATTCTTATAATAGAGGTTCAAAATTGTTGATTTACGTATCAAATGAAAGCAAATTGATTGACAAATACAATATTATTTAGTTCCTTTACTATTTCGATATGTGTTGGTAATATAGCCTAATTTAATCAAAAGTAACAAGCTGTGAAAGTGATCCAATGCAAATGTAAACGTTTACGAACATCGTTTCTGTTTAAAACTGTACACACATTTTATTATATTATGGGCAACCCCGTTTATCAGTCAAAGGTGACATTTCACAAAGCACGAAGGGTGTAAGGAAATATATTTTGAAAGTGTCACTTGTAACCATCAATAGCATGAAATGTACGTATGTTTTTATTATATAAACATCAGTCCAACCGTCTTTATCCATACATTTAAACATTATACTGGGTCCTGTCTGTCCACAATCATTTGAGACTGAATGCATAATCTTATATGAATAGGACAATCTACAACTAATACGTATTACGTTATTAGTTAACACCGTAGTTAAGAAATAGACATATATCAGAATCTGATTTATAATAGTATGAGATAAAACTGACATCGTTTCTATTTTTAACTATTTCTAACGATTTTATTAATGTTGTCAAGTTCACTGCTA